GCAAGAACGTCGCAAGTGGCCGGCAGATATTGCTTCCATTAAGAGAATTCATAGGTCCCGACCCGGGTTCAAAATGTGGTTTTAAGCCCTCAACATCAAACACCCCCTGAAGCTGTCCTGCCTCGCACATGCGTCGTTGCTCGTATGTTGATCCCTGGAAAAAGTAGCTTCGTAAATCCTTTAGATGCTGCAAGCTGGCGTGTGGTCTGAAATCCTGGACCCTCTGCGAATTCGGTCGCCTCCGGTGGCCGGGTGCCTGCCTGCGTGATGGACACGTGCTTTGAGGCATACTGATTTACACTACCACCACCGCTGCCACTGGCTTTGCCATGGTACCACCTCCAGCATCCACGATAAGGCCGCCACGACCGCCACCGCTGCCGCCCCCAGCAGCAGCAGCAGCAGCAGCAGCAAACAGCAGCAAACAGCAGCAACTTCAGCAAAAACACAACAGCAGCAGCCAGAGCAACAGCAACTGCAGCGGCAGCAGCAACAACAACCACAATGTCCACGTCAACGCTAACACCAACTTCAACATCAACAACATACAGCAACCGCTCACCAGCAGCAACAGCAGCAACAACAACAACAACTACTAGTATTACTTCCACTTCGAACACAACGACGACTTTTACTACGACGACGACGACGACGACTACTACTACTATTCCTCCTCCTGCTGCTGTTGCTGCTGCTGCTGCTTCCAGTACTGCAAGTAGCATATAACTGGATACCTCCTCTCTCTATGAATGTACGTGCCTGCTGTTAAAGTGCATATCTGCACTTGCTGCATATCCTTTCAAAGGCTTTCATCGCAGCTAGGACGAAGATTCGCAAGGCAGGCGCTGGCCCGGAAGGGTTTGCAGCAACCAGAGCTTTCTCGCAGTAGTTCCTTTCGCTGAGTGCTGCATGTGGAGAACTGCGCGTGCAGACCTCCACGCCAGACCGACAGGAACTCTTTGAAGGTTCACAGTAGCTAGTTCGTTTATCCCGGCAGCTGCGAATGCAGCTTCGCCAAAAGGTTGGAAGGTGGACAGTGCCAACAGGCAGATGTGCTTGTGCGACACTCTGCAGGTCGTGTGAGCCGTGTCATGAAGAGACAGTACTGTATGTGAAGGTTGCACTGGTCTCACCGATGATCCTTGTGCAAATTTTACCAGCACGGGCGGCATGCCTATTTATATCCCATCATATACATGTAGGCAGAATGATTATCCTCCTGAGTATAATGACTGAAGTACCAGGACTGTACAGGGACCTGCATTGTTTCGGCACAGACCTGTCGCACTATCGGGTAGCCGTCGTTTGATATCGCAGAATCTGGAAGTATGGGCTTAACGACGACTCTGGCTACCTTTCGACTTACCCAAATCGTGGATCTGGATCGTGCGGCTTCGCACCAAAGTTCTGGTAACTTCCAGGAAGAAAAAGGTCGTCAGTGCAACTGTTCCATGCAAGAACCTCCTTGGATTGGTACCAGTGCACAAGGCACAAGTCGTACCTCTGTTCACGCGGACTTTAATGACTCCAGGTCATATGTGTAAGGTTCGGCAAGCTGGTATCCGAAGTATCTTCAGGATTTCACCTCTGTCGCCGGATTTCGCTTTGTCAAAAAACGTCGATAAACACAAACACTACGGCCGATAGTTCGATGCTATTTACAGGAGGTCTGGGCATGCTGGAGACTTTGCGCATCCTTGTTGTTCACGGCATTCCCACAGCATCTGGAGGGTTCAGCGGTGAGACTTACAGGATTTGGCAGAGTACTTGTCACGTACCTAGACCCCCAAAGGTAGATAAATTCATGGCCCAAATCCTATGAAACGGCTATTATTCTACATACTTTTGGGGTCCAGGAAATTGCTCCATCCCTGGTCTCCTTCGCCTCAGGAGCTGGCATGAGCTCTCGGGCATGGAGGCCCAAACCCGAAGAAGACCTGACACGACTGTAGGGTTCCCAACACACAAGATTTTAACCATATGAGACCTCTACTCTTTGAAGTATAATGAAGATTAAACCTGTACAATTTGGGGTGGGGGTTCCTTTATGATTGTAGTATAATGGGCCCCAAAACCCTATTCTAATTTTTGAGGCCCCAAATAGTTCAAAAGAATCGAATGATAGAAAGAGCTGAAAGAAGAGGCGACGGTCATTCTGTTCTGTGCCGAGGTGTGCGGCCTCCATGAAGAGAGCTGATAGGACAGAGTTCCCGGGCTTTGGGGTTCAGGATTCTTGGGAAGTTACTGTAAGCCTTCGGACCTACCAGGTTACCACACGAACTGCATAACTACAGACTTTCGGCTGAGAGTGCTACCCTGGCATCGGTTTATCTCGTTAAAAATCAAAAGTCACAGGATTGGCAGCATGCGACGCATCCCAGACTGTGTTTCTGTGGGCTGAGCCGGTTGTAAGGGACTGGTTTTGTGGAATGTAATGACAGGACGAAGCGCGTCGTCTCCCTGCTGCACGTGCCGGACCATGGAAACAGGCGAGTTTCTGCAACATCGGGGCGCTTTGGGGTGAACCCTTAAGAGAGAGATGGAGCAGCATGGTCTGAGGTAGGAACTTTCAGACCCAAACCCTCCCGCGCGTTTCTTCAACATGGGCTGGAGGAATGATCCCACACTCGGGCGCTTTGGCATACCGGACATGCCCGAAGCTGAGTGAAAGGAACTATGGTGCGTTGCAGATGCATTTCTCATCATTTGGGATTTCTGCGCAAGGCCCACTAATGGATGCTCTCCGAAGTGAAAGTGCCATGAATAAGCAACCGCTGAGTTGCGGTACATTGTCGCATGTTCTTTGTTCTGGAGGGTCTTGGGGCCTATATCACTGTAAAACGCCTGAGGCATCAGCCTGGAATCCAACTTTACATTGAACGGACCGGCTCGTTCCGCGCCAGGATGGTGGTGATCAAAGGAGTGAAGCTCTGGGCCCATTACGACATCATGAGCATGGGGCTCAGGAGTTCCCCCTGCTTGTCAGGGCTCCTTTTCTGGATGAAGCTCCTGAAGGAGTGCTCCCGTGATGTTGTATGCGTCGTGATACAGCACAGGATGTTTTGCGAAGTCGTGCATGCTACACACCAGCCATGCCACGCACCCACAAAGACGGCAAGAGCGGCACGAGGTCATCAATCTCAAGCACTTCAGGCCTCATCCCCAGAGATGATGTTTGGTCTTTTTGCAGGAAGGACCATTGATAGTGGGTGTAGTGTAGGGCAATCTGCAGTGCGGTTTGCATGTCCAGCTGGTGCTGTTTCCGTTTGCAGACTGGAACCTACCATGTTGAGTTTCTGGCATCGGAACAGGCCATAAATCAAGGTCGTGCCTCATCCGATTAGTAGGCCCTCAGGCTAGACCGTCAGTGCAGCCGCAGTCCGAGCACAGGCTCAGCTTCACTCAAGTAGCCGCCGGCTCAGCTACTTGCGGACAGCTCTGGGCTGGTTTCTGTGTTCGGGCTGCAGGGTTTAGATTTTAGCGTTGTGGGTTGCTCGCCTGGCCAGCATAGGACTTCAAGATGGGTTGCCCGAATTCCAAAGGTGCCTGCGCACAGGCAAAGTGTAGGCCAGTTCTCATGTCCGGGCCTTTTCAAGATGGCTTTCGACACCGGTGGAATGGCTTTGGCGCTGAGGACATTGCGCGCAAACGTGCAGAGACCCGACACCCCATCTCACGCAAGTAGAGCTTTGCCCAGAAGACATGTGCAGCAAAATTTCATAGCAAGCGGGCCTTCTCAGTAGGTAACAGTAGTGTAGTGATGTCCTTTCCGCCGACGAGCTTTTTACTCCCACCTTGTGCAACCGAAGCTGAAGATGCACGTCCGCTCCGAGACTTGGACCACATTTGGGGGCGCACGCTAGTTATTCGACCAGGCGCGGACCCCAGTGTTGAAGAGCTGCAATAAAGCTGCACGGCAAATCCTTGCTGCCTGATTCCGTCGCATTCCAGACTTCATAGAGACTGCTGCTGCAGACGCGGAGGCATTCTGTCACGACACGGCATCAACCCCTGTGTTGGAGTAGAGGACTTTCTGGATTCTCTTGCAGTCCGAGGCCCTTCTTCGCCACGCAGCGTGCAGGGAGTCATGGCATGGCTCCGGGCGATATACCCTCCTCAGGCGCACTAGCTGAGACAAGCAAGCTCAAGTCAAGGTCCTGTGAGGTCTCCGGGGGGGACAGGCTAGGGTATTTTCTAGCAGCATGCATCAAGTATTCCGCAGGTCATAGCTCCGCCGAGACTAACGCACGGCTTCCAGTGCCGACAATTGCGAAAGTGTGTATGTCTTTCATTGCTTTGTCTTGGCGTGGTTACGAAGCAGTTGAGCCAGATGGTATGCCCGGCCATTACTCAAGGTTGTGCAGAAACTGCTGTTTCGAAGTCCTAAGTCCTGCGAGGGCTTACCATCTCCAGAGCATCTACAAGAAGCCCGGAACTTGATACCTGGGGTCAGACGGTTGATGCGTACTTCTGTCGGCCTTACCAGCTCTGACCTATGCTTCATAAACTCATAATGTTTGAAGGGACATTCTGGCATCGTACCGGAGCTTTGCACGAGCTTACGGCTCAGACTGCCGGGTCAGGGCCAACGGATCCTCGACGAGTATAGGAGCTTAAAAACTTACCTGTTGCAATTTTGGTGTTCCTTTGTTCCTTATTAGAGTTATAATATGATATGCCCCCAAAGCCTATTCTCACTATTGAGGCCCCTACATTTGCTGCTTGCCTGTCCTTCGACTAAGCCCTGGGGCTCTCAATGGCTGGATTGGTTAGTTACATGTCGAGGGGACTCTCAGTCTGTCTATCCTTCTCTTTGTTTGGGTGGCCAGTTTAAAAAGCAAACCGAACGTGGAAGCCCTGACAGGCTACTGGCGAGTGAGTATGACACAGAATACAGCAAGCAGCATTGCATTTCTCAGACATGCCGCTTTTGCCCCTGCTTGCAGCACTGGCCCAAGAAACTCGCTTGACTTGTCTGCGAAGAGCAGCACTCCATAAACATGTTTCAGTCCTTCAGGCACCAGGGTTGGCGGCTAGCATGTTCGAGCTGCAGTCTACACGCTAGCTGTCGCTCGTGGACGATACTGCTGCTGCTGCTGCTGCTCCTCCTTCTCCTTTGTTGTTTCCTGCTTTGCTGTTGCCGTTGCTGCTACTCCTGATCCTGTCTCTCTACGCAAGACTCTCAGTGACTATCTATTGCGTACACCACCAGTGCCACTGCCACCACAACGACCACTACCAGTTGCACTTCTGCCACCGCTACATCTATGCTTACCATGCCACTAGGTACCACTACCACACCACTATATACTACTACCACTGCAAATGCCAGCTACCAATACCACCGTCCCTACCACTACTGCTACCGCTACGACGACGACGACGACGCCTGCTGCTGCTATACCACTACCCACTCCACTACAACTAGCACTACCACGACCACTACTACCACCAAGCCCGCGACCACTACCACTACCACTGCGACGACGGCTACTGCGACTACTACTACGACTACTACTACTACTACTACTACTACTACTACTACTACTACTACTACTACTACTACTACTACTACTACTACTACTGCTATTACAGTTGCTAATGCTGCTACTACTACAAATACTCCTGCTACTGCTATTACTGCTATTACTACTATTACTACTATTACTACTATTACTACTATTGCTATTATGACTACTACTACTACTACTACTACTACTACTACTACTACTACTACTACTACTACTACTACTACTACTACTACTACTACTACTACTACTACTACTACTACTACTACTACTAGTTCTCCCACTACTTCTACTGAAAGGGAAGCCACCTACCCACCCACCGACCCACCCACATGCCTGCCCACCTACCCACCTCCCCACCCACCCACCCACCCACCGGACCCACCGACCCACACCGACCCACCTACCCACCTACCCACCCACCCACCCACCAACCACCGACCCACCGACCCACACCGACCCACCTACCTACCCACCCACCCACACTGTTTGCCTGAAAGTGTTTGCGGTGTTATTCATGCATCATGTGAAGATCGGGGTTCAAATGAAGTTCGAGATTTGGCACCAAACCAAAAAGCCGAAACACCCCGAAGCAATGGGATCGTTATGATACACGTCCCCAAACGAGAACCCCCATCAAGAAGCCCCCTCAGTTATATCTCGTTCACTATGCTTAGGCGGAGTTTTGTAACTGCCAAGAGTAGCAGCACTTATGCCTGAGCAGGGCATAACTTATCACAACCGTCACAACCCCAGGCGGCCAGGGCCAAGTCGTGGTGCACAGAGAGGTAAACAGAATTCGACATCCCTTCATCGGAACAAATGCCACACTCCTGAAGCCGGAAGTCCATACATACAGGAAGCGCCGCTTTTCTTCCATACCGCCTCCAAGCAGAACTGCATTCGGCAGTTATCCTGCAAGCATCAGAAAGCGCCGTCATCTTGATTGTCGTTCGACGGTTCTGGGAAATCGCTTGGTAAGAAGCTGCTGACAGGATTCTGGCCTTCTTGGCTTGCGCGGCCTCTCTGCGCGGGGAGCGAGAGAAGTTCGTGTCCGAGGAGGCGAAGCAGGGGTTTGTAACGGTTTGCAAGAGTGCAGCAGCAGCAGCAGCCGTCGTCGTCGCAGTAGTAGTAGTAGTAGTAGTAGTAGTAGTAGTAGTAGTAGTAGTAGTAGTAGTAGCAGTAGTAGCAGCAGCAGCGGCTGCAGTAGGAGCAGGAGCAGGCAGGAGCAGGAGCAGGAGCAGGAGCAGGAGCAGGAGCCGGAGCCGGAGCCGGAGCCGGAGCCGGAGCCGGAGCCGGAGCCGGAGCCGGAGCAGGAGCCGGAGCCGGAGCCGGAGCCGGAGCCGGAGCAGGAGCAGGAGCAGGAGCAGGAGCAGGAGGTAGTAGTAGTCGCAGCAGCAGCAGCAGCAGCAGTAGTAGTGAGTAGTGGTGTTGTGGCATGCGGGCCAACTAGCAAGTCTGAGTTGCGTGCAGCTGCTGGTTGTTGCTGCACGGACTAAACGAAAGGCACAGAATGAGACTGAGAACCTTTCGGTTGCCACAGGCACAGGATGATGAGGCCGCGTACAAGCAATTCCGTCAAGAGTGCTTTGGCTGCCATGGTGACACTGATGTATGGAATTGTTCACAATGGTGCCTCACCGATTCGGTTCAGGTTTACGAAGATCTGCGTGAATGCAGAAGCTCTGATCCCTGCAGATTCAGCACGTCCGGTTGAGAAATGTCCAGCCAACGGGTTCCCCGCACTGCTTGGGTCTCTCGCTCACTCTCTGTCACTCGTTTCTTCTTCCGATTTTTGATTCTGCTGGGGCCCATGGGCCTCAAGATATGCTGGCACAGTGTGAACTCCAATTTGCCGTCGGCCTCGCCTCGCGCCAATCAAAGTCGTAGCGCAGGAGCTGCTGTGGCCGACTGTTCTCATAGTTGTCTGCTGAAGTTCGTCATCGGACATGGGAGCAGGCAGAAGTTGGTCCAGCCTGAAGAGCAGAATGCCAGGGTGCATGGGGCTTCGAAGCGGATTACTATAGGGGCCTTAATAATTACCTATACTACCCTAGGGGTTGCTTATTATAGTTATATAGTTGTATTATAATATAAAGGGCCCAAAACCTTATTCTAATGATTAAGGCCCCCCATATTAAGAGAAGCGAGGTTTAACCGCACCGCCGAAGACAGCATCGCTTACCTGGAGCGCTTGGCACACTTCAGCTGCTTGGCCGGATGCACGAATTCAATCGAGTGGTTGTCAAAATTATGGGTCCCTTTTTGGGCACCATAAATATTAGGTGCCGTATTATAATAAGGACCCAAAAAGGTACCATCATTTTGACAACCATCCAATCATGTATTTCCAGCGCTCAATCCTCAGTTGCATTCAAACAACCCCGCCTAAGCCCACATGATGAGGATGGTCGGAAGATGTACCTGAACTCAGCCACCTTGCATGTTGCTAGCGGCTCAGGGCGTTTTCGCGCCGCAGTAGCACGGCACAACGCTCGCCCAGATGCGAGCTGGAGGGCAGTGTGGGCCTTACATCGTGTTGTCAGTGCCTGCGGGGGTTTTGAGGGGACGAAGGGCACGAACGGACGTTCGACCCCGGTGCACTGTAGCATTTTGGAGAGTTGCATGCTCTTGGGCGGAGAATCTCCGCCAAGCCTTTGGAGTCGAGTTGTTCGCGTAGCTCTACTAAAGCCCTTAAATCCTTCCTGTCCCCCTGAAATTGACGCAGGTGGTCGGGCCTTTTGCCGACTATACAGACGCAGAGTTCAAGGCCCCGCCTTAGAACTCAGACCAAGTCGACGGAACCCCGAGACCTTGGGCAAGAGCCCCGCTTAGCACAAGTCTTCCTTTTTCAGAAGGCATGATGGTTCCTCAAAGTTGGGGGTTCTTTCGTCGTCCAGAGAAGAAAGATGCTTGTTACGTTTTACGACTGACACCGTCTATGCTCGGGGTCCGAGAGCGAGAAACTCAGCAAACAAAGCCGGAAGGAAGGGAAGTGCTGGTCCGACTTTCACGTTCTCTTGAGGGCCCCCCAGCTTGAACTGACGAAGCCTAAGCGGCGTCGTCAAAGATTCGTATACTGTTTCAAAATCGAGTTCCAATATAGTTACATGTATAGTCTAGACAGCCCACTCGGCTCATTGTAGGCGGTATGGAGAACCGGATTTTGCACCCGGCCCCCCAATCCTGAAAATCTTCTCTACGACTCTAAGTTCATCCCGAACTCCTTTACCCTCAAAATACCCAAACGATCCTCGAACGCCAAGACCACTTGGCAGGCGCTGCTTGGACATCGCCGCACCTTCAGACCAGAGGTCCAGCAAACTAGAGCAGACATTGCATGACGCTTGCTTTCGCTCAATCGGTCGACCGTCAGAGGGTGAACGCTGGAGGGATCCTCTTAAACAGGTTTCTGTCACCTGGTTTCATCTCTTCCAAAAAAGCGTTGCAATGAAAAGGTCAGGAGATGTGGTGAATTTACGACATCCGCCTGCTATGAGACCAGAACCCTGGAGCTTATGAATCTAAAAAATGTTCTGCGAGCTGCATCTCTCCAATCTACGCCCTTCTGTGGAGGTCAAGGCCGCAAGCTCCTTCTTGCAGACTGAGCCCCACAAGACAATTGCTAGCACTGCTGCCTGGCTTCAGTGCGCTAATTGCACGCACGGGAGTTGCTGAGAGTGTGGCCCCTTCCTTGGGCGGATCACATGCCACGATTCGCCAACACTGCATAGCACCGCCACTGTATGATGCTGGTACAGGAATATCGGTATGACTCGCCAGTCAGTGCAGCACATTGAGTAGTTGCACTCATCGTTTCTGACGGCTGGTCATTGTTGAGAGTGCGAGGTTAAGAGTAGCATAGAGCGAGACATTGATTAATTGGCTTAGGCTAGATGCTGGCTAGGTTAGAGTAGACTAGGTTAAACAGATGGATAGAAGGTGTATGTATATAAACAGATAGACAAGCAGATAAACTTGGATGCGGAGAGGCTGAATTGTCTTGTGGCAGGGTGATGGCAGTCCACCCCGCCATAACCAAGGTAGTCTGGTGTTTTATTGCATCGGCTCTTTGTGCAAATCAAGGTCGACTGGACTGACAAACTCAGTTCCGTCAGAAGTGTCAAGGACTGGCATCCGCAACGTTAGTGAAACGACGGGTTCACCGATCCGGCGCAGTAGGCTCACATTGTTTGAACTAAGCGAGCAGGGCTTTGTTCCTTGTCCTGCGAGCAAGTTTCGAGAGTGGCAGGAGCAAGGTTCATGTGGTTCCTGCTGGGCGGTGGCGGCCATTGGCGCATTGGAGATGCACGCAGAGCTGGCGTTGCAGAAGGACCGCACTGCATGATGTCAGAGCCGAAATGTTGCTGTTGGCCTTGTGTTTCGGATGCTGGCGGGTCCTTGCTGGTCGAGTAGATTTGAGAGCCTGAGGTTATACACCAACCGTCCGAGACCCCACAGCAAGCTGAGACATGTGGACCAGCCTCATCTGCAGAGTCGGAGCAACAGCATCCGTGACTATGAGCAGGCTGGCTCTGCCCTCTCCTCCAACCAGGCGTGCCTTTTTGGGGGGTAGCAACAGTGTCGGGAGTGGCTCACACTCGACTTGCACCCAACTTGCCTTTGATCCCTGCCAAAGTTTTTGTCTGCTGATATCAGGATCCACATGGCGCTTTAAACTAATCAGGCTTTGCAGTGTAGCTGCGTCGCGAACTTAGGGCTGAAAGACAGGCATGTAGCTGAACACCCTTTTCCCATGTTGCCTGGATTTGTGGAATCTGACACCCATGTGGCTTGGGAGGTGAAGGATTGCTCCACAAATCCAAAGCACTGTGGCCGCTCGGCCTTACTTACGGCTTCACCTATGGCAATGGGGGTAATGGCGCCAAGCTCGAACCTCTGAGGGTCGAGGTCTCAGGCTCCCCTTCCCGCACTGCAATAAGACTAATCAAAAAATAGAAACAATAACAATGATGGAAGAAACGGCAATAGCAGTTTCGGCAACACTCCAGAGCTGGAAATCCTTGGAGTATTGCCCGGGCTCTTTGCCGATGTCGAATTGAAAGCCCGTTCAGATGCTATGAGCCACCCTATGCCCTGCTGCGGCTAAGGGGGCAGTGGCGGCTGCCAGGGTTCCACCTCGGAGCTTGCATATGTGCCCTTGTCGGCGCTTGCATCGATGCACAAGTACTGCGTGGCAGCAATGTAGGTTGAATGGGTTGTGCGGTATTTGGCTGCAGCGGGATGGATTGGTAATTTGGAAGGCCAGCAGGAGGTAGAACGACGGGATGGACCAAGAGCCAGTTTGAGGGCGTCTCCTACATTACAGGCAACTGGATAATATTGGTGACCAATCAGCGTTTGTTGCTTTCTTTTCTCCGTTTGCATTCCGACAGTGCTAAATCCAGATTGCGCAGACTACCCTTCCGATCTCGTGTGCGAAGGCCCACATGCACGTGGGTAAATTCATATGTGTGTCCGAAAAAGGGATTGACGCCCTAGGGGGTTCTGGTCACTCCAACAAGAAAACGTTTTCTCAAATAGGTCGAAACATGTTGGAACCAAGGACTACATTGTGAAAAACGGCATTGCCCTCGACAGCACCTACGGAGGGGATGCTTGACTGGCAAAGGGCCGATATGCGTCAGCTGCCCCCCGGAGTCGGGTCGGAACAGTTGTAGGGTGGCCTTCGCAATGCGACAGAGCCTGAACCATAGTAAGCTGCGGTTCAACCAGCTGTTGTAACATTGCCACTTCGCCGAGGACAAGAATCGCGATTCAAGCTGCCAGGCACACAAGCCCTACTTGCGCATTGGAGGCCTCTTCCAGAGCTTGTTGGATTAATAGGAAGAACCGCAAGGATATGAGTCTCTTGTACTTAATACCTACGCAATCCACACTCACGACTCTATTCGTCGAAGGACCTAGAAAATCCATATGCAGTGATGGTTAGTCAAAGAACCGTTCTTGGCACCCATGACTCCGCCACCTCCGAATCCCATGAACACCCCTGCATGTGGTCGGTTCCCAGCACCTGTGGCGCACAGGCTTTCAGCCTTTGCCCGTGAACAAGCTCCAGCCGCTGATGGAAGCGGTATCTACGAAAGGGCCACTTGGACGTTGGAGTACAGTAGAAGCCCAAATATTGGAAACCTAATAGCCTCAATCCTTAAGTAATGCACAGGAAATCCCAGCACTATTTAGCCTTCATCCGGTTTGGAAACTTTATGGGGTTACTGTAAATCAGTGATAGGTTGGCAGCGGCAGGTCCTGAAGGACTTGTCGCGACAGCCAACATCCGAACCAAGGCCGGTCGTTGTGTCCATCGATGCTTCCGGCTGGAATTCCTACGGCGGTGGCATCTTCGACGCCGTGCTGATTCCCTGTACGTTTGCGCATTTGTGAATAGCATTGAGAGAGCAAGCCCAATGTTTTGATTCTCTTACCAGTCACGAACTCAAGATTCACAGCCCAGGATAGCTGCGACAAGGATGCTGTTGTGAACCATGCTGTGGTTTTGGTTGGCTACGGCAAGTCAAAGTCGGAGAACAAGGACACTGCCCCGCAGTGTTGCCTGGATTAAGCGAATAGCAAAGGAAAAGTCAATGGGCAAGGGAATCAGGACAATGCCACTGGGATGTTCGTAGATATTCTGAAGCTTGAAGTTAAGCCTCGTGCGAATCTCGTGAATTATGGCTGTCTCTTCCCTGGACGCCAGGAGTACTGGCTCATTCGCAACTCCTGGGGCGAGGGTTGGGGTGAGAAGGGCTTCATCCGACTGCTCCGTCACAGTGGCGACCAAGGAGCTGAGGGAGTCGGAGTGGGTTCTTGCATGAAGCACCAGCCTAGACTTGGTAGTTGTCTCGCGGCTTCTTCGTCTTCTGCGGTGGATACCAGGGCCTTGACATTAACATCTTATGATTTCTTTCAGGCCCGTGGCGACACGACAACGATTTCTGAGGGATGTGAAGTGCGAACAATACTCGAAACCCTCCGAGGTTCAAGCGCCATCCAACTAAGCATGTTCTGTGCCATGGAGAATCAGGATCACATCACGGAGCCACGGGCTGTCCCAAAGAACGGGTAGCATACAGCCGCCATTCAGCTGAAATCGCTCCGGTGCCAAAGCCCCGCCAATCCGAAGAGGCGATGCAGGCTACTGTGGCACGGACCGAAACCCGAAGGAGCGCACCTTGGGTTCTTGAGGGTTTCGCCAGGTTTCAAGAAGGAATGGCCCAAAGTTGTCCTATGTTGCTTCCGGAATTGAAGGGGCTGCAAATTCACACCAGCAGACCCCGGGGAGATTGGGACCTGAGGTGTCCAAGGAGTAGGAATCAAGGCAGAGCAATGCCGCGCAAGAAGGTAGCTCGAGTCTTGTTCTTGCAGTCTCGGATGGGTTCCACGGCAGCTGTTTTGCTTGATTTGCGGGTTCGCAAACTTTGGAACCCGAAACAACCATTATTCATCCTGAGAAGTTGAGTTGTAGAAGCTCTCTTGGCACTCAGAGAAGCTACTGGTCTTTGCGATCTGATCTCTGTTCTTTGTCAAGCCCTTTTCCGGGGCTGGTGTCGAGCTTTCGGAATTTCGGACGTGAGATGTATCCCTGTCCGATGTCCTGTTCATTGCCGCAGGCAGGTCACCCTTTTAGGGAACCTAAGTCTTATGGAGCCTTCAGCAGGAACCCTGCAAGCTATGTGACTTGCCAGCTCATCTGAGGCCTTCTCTAGTGTCAGAAAAGTTGATCTGGAACTCTCGCCTACGGCCGCTCTGCCTTTAGCACCTGAGCCTGGCTACTGTAATCTTTCAGACTTCTAGGGCAGAGCTGTGTAACTCCCGAACAATCTGCCTCACAGGAAGGCGTTGGTTGCGACGGCGGACCCCCGGAAATTCCTGTGTGTGGGATGTGCGGTGTACTCTCGGAGCCTCGGCACTTTCATGCAGTTTCTACCCGTGTCAGCACCGCTGTGTCTTTGCAATGTCAGTGCCTAGGGTAACATCCACTTCAAGCCTTCTGCAACCGCGGCATCTTCGGGCCAAAAGCATGTCGAACCGTGCCAAAATACATTGCAGTAGACAGCTCTGCCGAGCAACCACTAATTCACCGCTAGTTCGGGCTTCCTCTAGATACCCTCTGTCTACACAACCCGGGTTCCTTTCAAGCAGGGACCCGAGCTCAGACCTTGCCGTGTCCGAAACCTTTCAGACTGTCATCAAACCGAATGCTCAGCCCTGAACTAAATCCGCAAGACATTTTCAGGACCTAAATCCCGAGACTATCCAAAACCCGAACTCTCCATGCACCTTATGAGACCGCCTTGCCTTCGCCGAGGATTCCGTGTATCCTACCGGACTCCAGCTCGCCTGAGAGGCTTTAGAACAGCGCAGGGAGCGGTCCACATCCCTGCAACCCGCCCCCGAGTAGAAAGCTTTGCGACTCTGGTAGACAGAAGTACGGCGCTCTTGTCATGCTGCGAAGCTCAATCACGTGCGAAATGCTGTGCGGAGTGTGAATGCAAGAGAGCACTTGAGAGAACTCTCCTCTCTCTCTCTCTCTCTCTCTCTCTCTCTCTCTCTCTCTCTCTCTCTCTCTCTCTCTCTCTCTCTCTCGCTCTCACTCGACCTGCTTCCCTCACTCCCTCCCTCACTCACCCGCATGTCACAAGCATCTCACTACGGATGTGCATGATCTACATACTACATCTAATAGTTTACACAAACGAAAACTTGAAGCCAATGCGCTTGTTCACGCCTCTCGTACAGAGCGACTGCGTTGTAAACGTTTGCCCTAAATTCCAAAAAATAACAAACGAATGCAGAAAATTGAGATAACTGAGTAAAGAAGTATTCAGAAGCAAAGCAGACACCTGCACACATCCGGTTTACGTACACATGACTGTTAATGCCAAGTCAGACCGAGTCAAATCGTGCTCAAGTATTTGCATACATGAAGTGTGCATGCGCATGCCTGTGTTGCTCTGAGCGCATGCATGCGAATGAAAGCGTGACTTTTTCCATTGAAGTCATGAACGGGTGGCGCGCAGGCAGGCAGAGATGGATGGATGGATGGATGGATGGATGGATGGATGGATGGATGAATAAACTCGTGCATGAATGCAACGAGCGGAACGAGCGAACAAAGGAAGCAAGGACGGAAGGAAGGAAGTCAGGACGGAGGGAAGGAATACTAATTGGATGAAGGGTGGCCCGACCCATTCGGGCCCTGCCAGGGTGGGTCGGACGGGAACCCTCGAGAACCACCCAGTCGGCCCACCATACGGGTCCGAACGGGTGTTCCCGGGCCAACCCTCCATTTCTCGACCCGCTTATGTATGTATGTATGTGTCAACGCATGAAATGATTGAATTGAGTTTGGATTGAAATCGAAGGGATAGGTGGTAAAGGAATGAATCAAAAAATGACTCAAGTGAGATGAAATGAAGTGAGGTGAAATAATGAATGAACGCATGAAGCAATGAACGAATGAATGCATGAATAAGCGAAACTTCCGACGGAAGGCTAAGATGTGTTGCGTTGGCGCGTTCCTGCATGCGGCGCTACCAGTGTGCGTCCGCAGAATTGAGGATGAATCATGAACAAACCTTTTCGTTCGGACATGCCCCTGAACCTGTTCTGCACATAGGCACACATCCATCGGATAGAAGCGGAGGCGGAGAGAGAAAGAGAGAGAGCGAGATAGGGAGCGAGCCATCTATCTAAATTTCAGAGCGGCGCACGACAACATACTGGCAGAGCAGGTGCACAAAAAGACACGAAAAGACAGGACGGTGCATGCATCAACTTCGCATGAACTCTTAGTGTTCGAGCATGCAGGACCTACATTGCAGATGTAAAGGTAGGAATAGATCGGAGCGATAGTGGCTGTGGAGTCGTGGGGTGGCCTTACGAGGCCCGGGGCATAGCTGTTCATTTGGGCTGGCCGCAAATGCGGACGCCATGCCCCGTTTTGCTGCGACAGAGCCCTGGCCAACAGCCGGCCCTAAAGGATATGACAGCTGAAGACTCGGCCGGGATGAACAGGCTTTGCGTTTGAGTGAGCTTGAAATGGGATGTGCTGGCACGGCTTTCAGATCTGAGTTCCTCAAGTCAGGGCTTTGCCCGACCTGTCTTTTTGCGGTTGACCCAGCAGGGCCCATGCACTCCAACAGTAAGTGGGCCCTCTGGATATGTAGCTTGCGACTTACGAGTTGCTCATCTGGCACACGCTTGAAGCTACAGAAAGCTGATCGTGCGCATCATCTTCGGCGTTTCGCTGTCGGGGTTTGGGGCATCGAACTTTGCTGCCGTGGTTTCTGCATTCGATAGCTTGAAGTCTGACGAGGCAGCTTCAATTTAATCGCAGCTGTCCTGTCCATCTCACTGCTGAGTGCAACGCTCATTTGGCCTCGTCGTGCTCAGGTGGAAAGCCTTGCGCGGGAGTTTCGCATGGAGGCACTACTTCACCAAATGAAGGCCCTGCCAGAGCTGCCAAGTGGGGATTCGAGAATCTGATGCAAACTTGCTCATGAGTCAACGGAAGAATCTGCACCCACCTCGCCATAAAAGATTCCGGTGCCTGGACATCCGTGTGCAGCCTGATTTCCTGCATGTGTGTGCTTGCAGTTGGGCGTTGCTGCCTCTTTCGACTTGTCTGAAGTGGCCGCCCACGAACAAGAGGCCGGATGAGACTGTGTGTGCATGAGACATGTACAATGTGTAGTTAAACTAGCGGTGCAGCTTCATATGCACATATGTTTATATGTATATATATATATATATACATACACACATATACATATGAGCGCATGCTCTTCTCGTGCAAGCTTCTTTGAGTCCTCAAGTTCGTAGGTTGTCTGAACGCGAAACCGCGAGCCAAGCCAAATCAAGCCAAGCCCTTTCACAGTTAGAACGTGTGTAGCGATTGTCTGTCAGACGAAGTCACTGTGTACAATGTTTAGCGGCAGAACATATCTATGGGAAGCTCTGTCTAAAAGGAGACACTTCTAACCTCAAATGTTGTGAAACATGAGACCATTGCGTTTTGTGTGTGTCTGTGTGTCTGTGTGTCTGTGTCTGTGTGTCTGTGTCTGTGTCTGTGTGTGTGTGTGTGTGTCTCTGTGTGTGTGTGTGTGTCTGTGTGTGTCTGTGTCTGTGTCTGTGTGTGTGTGTGCGTGCTTGTGTGTGTGTGTTTGTGGGTGGGTGAGTGTTTTTGTGTGTGCGTGTGTGCATGCATGTATATAGCTTTATGTATATATATATATATATATATACATGTATGTATATATATATATATAACTGCATATCTGTACATACGTACATATACATACCTACCTATCTACGTACGTACCGTACGAACTAGGTAGGTATGTATGTATGTGTGCATGAAGGTATGTATGTATATGTGGATGTACGTACGTGTGTGTGTCTGGTAGTGTACGCATTTGTGTGTGTGTGTCAATGTGTAAGCATGCTTATGTATGAGTGTATGCATGCATGCATTCATGCAGGCATGTATGTCCGTGTGTATGTATGTATGTATGCATGTATGTATGTGTAGTTCCGTGTTGGAGTGTTCGTTGGCATGCGTGTAGTTATCAGTATGCATGTGTGTGTGGGCATGTATGTATGCATGGCATGGCTGCATGCATACATGGGGAGAGGGAGGTGGCTCTACTATTGGTTATCTTATCGCTCCTGGGCAAACGGCAGACTGCAGACAGCCCATGGCTTGGGGCAGTAAGACACATCTGGTTCCCTGCAGCGCAAGGCCATGCGGCGAGGCGCCTTCGACTCCACGATCGCGCCTGTGCCGACGACATATTTTCGAGCAACAGCAAGGAAGGAGAGAGAGCGAGAGGGACAGGGTTGGGGGATTTTCCGACAGACGCACCCAAACCGACCAAAGGGCGCAAATCCGTCCAGTGACGACCCCAAAGCCTCTTCCACCATTACAGGGGGAAGGGGGCGCGAGCAGACTCATCCCCCATGAAGTGAAGTGAAGAGAGGGACAGGGAAGGGAAGGGAAGGGAAGGAGTGGCATGGCTCGACGCCCAGAGCGTGGCTGACATTTCTGTAGGGCTGCAGGGAGCATCCTCGTCCAACCACTGCGGGCGATCTACCCCAGCTACAAGTACAAGCCAAGCGAACGGATGGCAGTTTGATGTTGCAAGCACTGCTTTGAACCTGCTTGGGCCAGATCGTGCTGGAAGCCATGTCAGAGTTCGCTCTCGACGAGCTCAAGGAGATGCCCGGCCCTCATGGGCGATTGCATATTTTCGACCGAAACCTACTCTCCGGGATGATTTCATGCTATGCCATGCAATGCCAACTTCGTAAGTGCAAAGCAGTACTGAGACGAAGCGGCTTGATGAAGGGGCAGAGGCAGCGACCAGAGCGTCGCAATGCCAGCTCTGTCATTGGGGTCAGAGTTTTGATGACAATGGCAGATCTGCATACCAAGTGCACTCCTAGAACCCGAGAGTCTTCCGTCAAACGCCCCGGGTAAGTGTCGGGCTCCTTTGGGCGCCCATTCGTGAAATCGCACGTGGTCTTCCCGGACAGACAGGGGCTGGCGTGGTGGTCGTGGGAGCGAGCAAGATACATGATGCCTGGCCTAGCATACCTGACGAGCTGATTCGAACCAGCCAGGGTCTGAAGAAGAATCTCGGGTGGCTGGTGCCCAAAGATCTCCCTGTGCATTCCCACATCAAGTGTATATCTTCATAAGAAGCAGGAGCGATGGCTTTCACCATGGTATATAATTTTATAACGGTCATCAGACAGGTCAAACATATATAACTTCACAACACAAAGCCCCGAGGCCTGGCTACAATGACCTGTCTGTATCCGTGAAGCTTCAGGCCAGACGGAATATCGGAATAAAGTGCATGCATGACGAACTTGTTGAGGGTTTGGGGATTTGGGATCTGTGCCAAGGGCTTGTGGTCAAGACGAGTGTGTCCTTATTGGGGAAAAATCTACCAGGTCGCGTGTATGCGTGTTTAGAATTTCTGTGCTGTTCCTGGCTGGCCTGTGTAGCATCCAAAGGTGGCACGCCAAAGAGTGGCATTGCTCGAGCGCATCCTTGAGCATGACCGGGCCAGGATCTTACTCGTTCCGGTAGGCCGTTGCTTTGCGGCCGTGTATATCGACACACGGGTACTTGACTGCATGATGTTGAAGACATAGCTTCACTTCAGTGGCGTCATGCACAATGCATGAAAATGCATCATGTAGCTAGTGTCTATTTGCCATCTTACGTATTATGCAATGTGTATATATATATATACACACACATAAACCCACATATGTACACATATATGTACATGTCCCAGGCGGATCTGGAGTCGCGACACGGTGCAAGTGCGA